TCTCCTGGGTACAGCAGATTTTGGCGGCCAACTGAGCCCCCAGTCTCACCTTGGCCTCCCTGCTTCCACAAAGCCTCAATAAACCGGTAGAACACATGTCGATGGTGTCTGTGTCCTATGTTGGTGATTCTGAGAACTCACTCTGCTTGAGAACTTGGGCCTTCATTGAGCCAGGCAGGAGGGCCTCTCCTTAGAGCCCCACTAAAGAATGTCAAGGAAGGGCATAGGCAGATGAAGGGTGATCTTGGTCTCTATCCCTCACCCAACACTCCCCTCCACCCTCTGGCTGCTGGGTCCTTGCATCCACCCCTGCTCAGTGTGCTCAGGGCCAGCCCTGGGGAGTGGGTGGCTGGGAGGTTGAGCCCAACGCTGGCCCCATGCACCTGGGATTCCAGGAAACCTTCCCAGGTGCAGCCCCCATGGGCTGCCTCTTTCCCAGGCCTGCGCTGGAGCCAGGTGCTTCTCAGCCCAAGGACTCAAGATAAGGAGTAATGGCGAGGCAGGCTGCGATTGGTGGGCTGGGGAAATATATTGGGGGTCCCTCAGGCAGACCCCATCTCACCTCCTGAGCCACACATCATGGCCTTTCTCTGGGTTGTCCTTGGCTTCTCTCTCTTTGGCAGCAGCTTCGGTAAGTGCAAGGCTCAGGCAGGCCTGGCAGCCCCAGGTCAAGCCTCGCCCATCCTCTGGCCCCCACACCCAGAAGAAGAGACCAGGAGGGTCCAAGTCCTCATGCCTCTAACCAGCCCTGCCGCCCGCCCTCCCAGCTTCCCCTCTCAGCCTCCCTGGGCACTTCTGCCTGTCTCCCCACTCCACTGCCTGGAGGTCCCTTGGACACCTCAAACTTAACTGGACATACCTTGGACCATGACTCATCTTGGTCTCCTCCATACCCTCCGAAGCTGGGGGGTGGTCTGGGTGCCTCTACTCTCCAAATTTGCCACTGAGCTGTCTGAATTCTACCTTGAGAATGATTCCTCGTCCATCCCTCTTGCCCTGCCCTCCACCCTCCAGACCTGGACAGACTCCTGGGTTTGTGCCACCCCAGCCAGGTTATATCCTTGCTTGAACCTGCTCCTGCTGGAGACTCAGAGCTCCAGCACCCGACTCAGTCCAGCTGTGAGAGCATCCAGGACTCAAGCAGGACATCTCAGCCCCCAGAACAGGACACTGGGCTCAGAGGGGGATAGACACTCCCCTCAGGGCACACAGCAGGGTGGGGGTCCCCAGACCTGGCCTCCCAGCACTGCCCCAACTCCAGATACCCTCAGCCTTGGGGCCATCCACAAGGGCACCTGAGGGCGGCTATCAGCTGGACAGGAAGGAGGCTGAATTCCCTGCAGTAGCCAAAGTTCTGGGTGCCAGGGTGCCACAGAGGCCTGGGAGTGCCAGGTCTTCACCCCTGACCCCCTTGGGGCACCATCCATTGACCAGATGCCCTGACCCTTCCCCCTAGGCTGTGGGGTCCCTGCCATCGACCCTGTGCTGAGTGGTCTGTCCAGGATCGTCAATGGAGAGGATGCTGTCCCCGGCTCCTGGCCCTGGCAGGTGTCCCTGCAGGTGAGGGGGCATTCTGTGCATGAGTCGAGGATAAACTAGGGTATTGGCCTGGCTAGGGAGCTGCTGCCCAGTCTGGCACTGATCCCCACCCCCTCACCCCCATCTTTCTTCAGGATAGCACCGGCTTCCACTTCTGTGGGGGCTCTCTCATCAGCGAGGACTGGGTGGTCACTGCTGCCCACTGTGGGGTCAGGTGAGGCCTGGGCTGGGCAGTAGGGGCCCCTATTTCACCTTCATCCCCTCCCCAACCCCAACCAGGCGCTGCCACCAGGGTGGGAAAGGGGCCGGGACAACCTGCAGGCTAGGGGG